AGAACACCCGATTTTTGGGATATTAATTTAGGATTCAGAACATGCGTAAGCAACATGATGGAGTATGTTTTGGTGCCGACTACGGCTGTCTAGAACGTTTAGTCACTTTACTACGGCACGTTAACTTTTCGAAATTTGGAAATACCATAACTTCATTTTTTTAAATGGCACCCTCCATATTTTATTACTTAGTCGTCTTGGGTGTCTCATTTTACATCTTTTATTTCCCATATGTCCTATACCTAACATTTATAGTTTGGGAGATAATTAGGGTTTTTTGAAAAATGCACACATATTATATCGATATTTAACCTGGTGTGCCATGAATACCTAGTGTGACCTAGTGTATAATCATATGAAGTGGCCTTTTGAAAATTTGCAGACTTCTGATGTTTGATGCCAGCGTTTTAGTAAAATATTTTCAGGTTCCGGGTACTTGCGGTTACACCGGAAAAAGTGACAATTTTCATGTTTCAAATGGAACACCCTGTATTTCATTACATTTTTGAAATTTTTGTTCAATTTTAGGCCATTTGTATGTTGCAGCCGACACGTATACGCAATTATTTGGTTGCACTCTCCATAAATTATTATCAAATTCAAATAATCCTCATTACTAAATTCCAAATGTGACATTTCTTGAAAACAGATCATTACAAAAAGTAACCTAGTCATCACACCAACAGTAATAAACCATAGCTTTAGCAAATGTCAAACTGTTTACTCTTTCCTTACTGATCCTCTGATAATACATAACCACAACAACATTCAACAACACCAAATTTTTTTTCTGGCGGTCAAACTAGATGATTTATAAATTATAAAAAGTAACATTGTAGTTGACATTTTTGATTGAAAAATGTAATAAAACTCAGGGTGTTCCATTTGAAATACGAAAATTGTCACCTCTTCCGGTGTAACCACAAGTACCCGGAACCTGAAAATACTTTAGTTAAAAAGCTGGCATCAAACATCACAAGTCTACAAATTTTCAAACTTCCACTTCATCCGGTTATTCACTAGGTCGCACTAGGTATTCATGACACACTAGCTTAAATATCGATATGTGTGTGCATTTTTGAAAAAACCCTAATTATCTCCCAAACTATAAATGTTAGGTATAGGACATATCGGATATAAAAGATGTAAAAAGAGACACCGACGACGACTAAGTAATAAAATATGGGGGTGCCATTTAAAAAAATGTAGTTATGGTATTTCCAAGTTTCGAAAAAGTAACGTGTCATAGTAAAGTGGCCAAACGTTCTAGACAGCCATACTCGGCACCAAAACATACTCCATCATGTTGCTTAAGCATGTTCTGAATCCTAAATTGATATCCCAAAAATCGAGTGTTCTCTGATTTTTTGAACAAATGTCTGCTGGAGCAAATTTTTCTAGAAAAATTCGAATAACTCGAGAACAGACGAATCAAATTGCAAAAAGTAAAGTCATTCATAAACCTTGAAAACAGACAAATCCAAATATATAAAAATATACAGGGTGTTCCATTTAAAAAAATTAAGTAGGTCGCGACTTCCGGTATAACCGGAAGTGTTAGATATCTGAAAATATTTTAGTCGAAGAGAACGCAATTGATAATACTTAAATCTGAATTTTCAAATATTAATTTTGGCCAGAACCCTGTAAAGTTCTAATGGACGGTCGTCGTGGATGACCCTGTATAAAAATCGTATATCCATTTATCTTCCACACAACGTATTTTTAGGAAAAATGACGACTTTAGAAGAATAAATGAATGCAAAAATTTACCCAATTTGCTTAAAAAAAATGTTAAACAAACATAATCTGTCTTTACTTTAATATTTTGTTTTGTTATATAATTTTAAATACATGTATTCAGTGAAAAGTGTTTATTTTCCAACAACCTACATTATTATTAAATTATATATCCAGCACGCGAAGCTTCCTCAAATTCTCAATACACAGAGGAAACCGACTTAACAAATTATTTGAATGAGTCAAAACCTCCAAACTTTGCAAACAATATGTTTTAATCTTAATTTTATTCTAAAGTTTGTTTAGTTGGTGTATTTTCATTGTAAAATTTTCCAGTATCGTGTAATGCATTCGTTGTGTCGTTTATTCTAATTTGTGACATACCTTATTTTGACTGTTTTTAATATTATTTAATATTGTATTATTCACTTTTTAATCATATGTGTTATTTCTATATTTTCAAACTTAACATTTTCTTCAAATTTTGACGTAAGTTATATTTTTATAACGATTTGTTAATTTAGTTTATTTGATGTGATGAGTTTTTGTTTCCACTTACATAGATTTTGGCTGGTGATGACTTAAAAGTCGAAACCTGTACCAATAAATATTTAAATCTAAGCAAGTAAGAAGTTGTATATAAAATAATTTCTTTCATATATTTTCAATAAACTTGCAACATGGATTCCTACAACAATATATGATGTAATATTAAAGTATTAAGTGTCAACTTTGAATAATCACTTGAAGTTTATTTCTTGGAATTAAGAAACGATTTATATCTTAAATTAAAGATCAAAACATCCTCTTTAAAATGATATATGATAACATATATGTTAATAACCAAATTTCTAAAAAATCCAGTTTTTTTAAATATGATGTTATATTAAACAATTAATGGTGGTGTTGATTAAGTGTCAACTTTGAATAATCACTTGAAGTTTATTTCTTGGAATTAAGAAACGATTTATATCTTAAATTAAAGATCAAAACATCCTCTTTAAAATGATATATGATAACATATATGTTAATAACCAAATTTCTAAAAAATCCAGTTTTTTTAAATATGATGTTATATTAAACAATTAATGGTGGTGTTGATTAAGTGTCAACTTTGAATAATCACTTGAAGTTTATTTCTTGGAATTAAGAAACGATTTATATCTTAAATTAAAGATCAAAACATCCTCTTTAATATGATATATGATAACATATATGTTAATAACCAAATTTCTAAAAAATCCAGTTTTTTTAAATATGATGTTATATTAAACAATTAATGGTGGTGTTGATTAAGTGTCAACTTTGAATAATCACTTGAAGTTTATTTCTTGGAATTAAGAAACGATTTATATCTTAAATTAAAGATCAAAACATCCTCTTTAATATGATATATGATAACATATATGTTAATAACCAAATTTCTAAAAAATCCAGTTTTTTTAAATATGATGTTATATTAAACAATTAATGGTGGTGTTGATTAAGTGTCAACTTTGAATAATCACTTGAAGTTTATTTCTTGGAATTAAGAAACGATTTATATCTTAAATTAAAGATCAAAACATCCTCTTTAATATGATATATGGTAACGTATATGTTAATAACCAAATTTCTAAGAAATATATTTTTTTAAATATGTTGTAGTATTAAATAATTAATGTTTGGGTTGTTTCAGCGTCAATATTGAATAATCACTTGAAGTTTATATCTGGGATGTAAAAAACGATTTATATATTAAATTAAAACATCCTTTTTAAAATGATGTATGATAACATATATTTTAATATGTACTCAAAACTTCTAAGAAACACGTTTTTTTAAAATATGATGAGATATTAAATAAGTAATGGTGGAGTTGTTTAAGTGTGATTAATCACTTGAAGTTTATTTCTAAGAATTAAGAAACGATTTATATCTTAAATTAAAGATTAAAACATCCTTTTTAAAATGATATATGATAACATATATGTTAATGATTAAATTTCTAAGAAATACATATTTTTTAAATATGATGTAATATTAACTAATGGTATAGTTGATTAAATGTCAACTTTGAATAATCACTTGAAGTTTATTTCTGGGAATTAAAAAACGATTTATATATCAAATTAAAGCTTAAAACGTTCTCTTTAAAATGATGTATGATAACATATATGTTAATAACCAAATTTCTAACAAATACATTTTTTTTAAATATGATGTAATGTTAAATAATTAATGCTTGGGTTGTTTAAGCGTCAACATTGAATAATTACTTGAAGATTATTTCTAGGAATGGAGAAATGATTTATATCTTCAATTAAAGTTTAAAACATCCTTTTTAAAGTCATATATGATAACATATATTTTAATAATCAAATTTCTAAGAAATGCACTTTTTTTAAATGTGGTTAAATGCTGAATATGCATGATAGTTTAAACTGCTTTTTAATTGTTTATGTTTAGATTGATAATAACTATATTTTTGCATATTTCTACATATTTTTTGTATATTTATGAATAAAAAGCTGGTGTATTTATGCGCATATTTCCTACAATTTGACTGCCTAAAAATCCGAGCTCTAATAATAACATATACAGGTGTCTCACGACGTGATTGCCATAACTTGGGAAAACAGCTTTATTGAATTAGTTGCTCAAAATGTCCACCAGTTGCTGTATACATAGTCTAGCTCTTCTTAGAATTGAAGTGGTAGCTCTGCTAACAGGCTCAGAATCAGCACGAATAATTTCTGCGGCATCCATAATTCTACCTACTAGTTGTTCTCTGTTTTCAATATTTTCTGCATAAACTAACTTTTCAGTCTTCTCCATAAAAAGTAATCTAAGGGATTAAAGTCTGGTGACCTTGCTTGCCAAGGAATTGCTGAACCTCTTCCAATCCACCGGTTTGTATAATTTGGATTAAGAAATTCTGTTATTTGTCGACCAAAGTGTGGAGGTGCGCCATCGTCCTGAATCCACATTCGTTGTCTTACATTAAGAGCAACATCATCCAGTAATATTGGAAAATCTATCTTGAAAATGGTATTCCCGAGTTTGTCATGGATTTTCAAGTGCCCAACAATGTGAATTCCTGGTATTATTGATGAGGCTTCATCACTAAACGATATTATCCGACAAATCCTCGGTTACGATAGCGTTTTGGGTGTACGTTTTTTGATATAAAATCACCCCAGCAACACACTCCCAAGCTATGGCAGTCACGTCATGGAACATATATATTAGTCTGTATATGACTAATATGAAAAGCATCAGTGTCTTCGCCTGTATCTATTTTTTATGAATTCGAGTGATTTCTCATTGTGGCATAAGTGTAACCACCTTTCATAATCTAAAAAATCAAAAATTGCAGCAAACTAAAAATCAAAATTTTTGACACATACCGATTTGAAAGTAAGCAGCGAAAAAATTCCGTACGGCCCAGTTCTTAAATACAACGGTTTTTGCGTGCGCATCATCATAAAAGCGATATCCTTACGAATCGAAGGGCTCCCTTTGTACCATTTCGTATCGTATAAAGCTGTGGCGATTTCAACACTCTAAAATGATTAATTTAAAAAAAAAATGATTGACTCAAAAGACTACCATTAAAGTTTAAAACGTACTTTAAATATCATTCTTTCACCACAAAGACAATTCAAAAAAATCGCCATAATCCAACCCACCACATTCATAATTGGTTTAACTTCGCAATTCTAAAAATTAAGAAAATTAATTTGAGATTTAAATAAATCCTTTTTTTAATACGTTAAGAATTGACAAAAAGCACACTCCAATGATGACGCTGTAAGCGACCTGGCAAGGAGCAAGAAATTTGTTGTAACATATATTTATTCGATCAACTAATCTAAAAAATTGTATTTAATTAATTTGATTATTATATAATGAAGTATTATCTTACCGTGCGATGTAAATATAATAACGAATACAATTTCTAAGTCGAGCTTTTCTTTCTTTTTCTGCAACGACCTCAAAAATTTCTCCAATTTTCTCTTTAAGATGTTCTAACCTAACAATTACCAACTCAAAGGCAGTAAAACAAGCAGCCCCGGATAAGGCTCCGACCTCCAATAAGTAAGTAATAACATACCAAGCAATCCCTACGTGTAAATAATGAAGAAATCCTTCTTCGACCGAATACAAATAATATTTTACTTGGACCGGATATCCGGTACAATATAACGCAATTTTATCAGTAATCCCTTTGGGACAAATAAACAATTTTAAAAATACAGTTTTAATAAAAATCACGCAGCAACCGAAAAATATATATAAACATATTAAAATGTTTAAAATGTCGACGATACCCATGTGTTTCTTAGCGATCGGTGGTTCCCCGAATTTCGTAAAATCCTGGAGTTCTTCGAATAAATTTAAGGAACGTTTTTCGATTAAAAAGGTTATTATGTAATTGTAATAAATATTTATGCCGCAAACTGCGGCATAAATTGATTCCGATATCAAGATAGATGACGATTCCTTCAAATCTGAAAAATAAAAAAATAAAATAAAATAATAAACATTTGTTTAATTAAACGTACGTGTTAAAATATGGAAACAATGTAATTGAATACCAATAACAAAATATAATCCCACTGTTAAATGAAACCAAATTTTAAATTTATAAAAAAAATTCTTTTCGCCATCGTACCAAATATGAACCAATCTTGAGTATTTGTACAACATGGGAATATAGGAAGGCATTGTTTAGTTTAAAAACAGTTTGATGTTATGTTAATGGATATCAAAATGCGAATACGTATTTAATCAAAAAAATTGTTCAATTTATAATATAAAATAAGTGCTTATTTTATTTTTTATTAAATTAGAGGCTAAATTTTATTGCTACAAATCATCTTATATTGTGTTCTTTCATTATAATATTAAACTTTTATAATAAAAAAGAATTAAAGAGAACTTATTTTCTTAGAAACGCGAAACATTCGTAAACGGTTGTAAGCGAGGAATAAACATAAACATTAAAATCGAATTAGGAAAATAAGACGGTTAAGCTATGAGCTTATCCATTCTAATTTATAAATTTATTTCAAAATAATAAATTAAATTGAGAAATTTTGAAAGAAATTGTTTTCTTTTAATAATGTATTAAAAAAAAGTTACTTAAATTTATTGTTTGTAAAANGTACCATTTCGTATCGTATAAAACTGTGGCGATTTCAACACTCTAAAATAATTAATTAAAAAAAAAATTTTTGACTCAAAAGATTACCATTAAAGTTGAAAACTTACTTTAAGTATCATTCTTTCACCACATAGACAATTCAAAAAAATCGCCATAATCCAACCCATCACATTGATAATTGCTTTAAGTTCCTGGTGCTAAAAATAAAGAAAATTAATTTGAGATTTAAATAAATCCTTTTTTTAATACGTTAAGAATTGATAAAAAGCTCACTCCAATGATGACGCTGTAAGTGACCTGGCAAGGAGCAAGAAATTTGTTGTAACATGTATTTATACGATCAACTAATCTAAAAAATTGTATTTAATTAATTTGATTATTATAATGAAGTATTATCTTACCGCGCGATGTAAATATAATAACGAATACAATTTCTAAGTCGAGCTTTTCTTTCTTTTTCTGTAACGACGTCAAAAATTTCTCCAATTTTCTCTTTAAGATGTTCTAACCTAACAATTACCAACTCAAAGGCAGTAAAACAAGCAGCCCCGGATAGGGCTCCGACCTCCAATAAGTAAATAGTAAAATACCAAGCAATCCCTACGTGTAAATAATGAAGAAATCCTTCTTCGACCGAATACAAATAATATTTTATTTGTAACGGATATCCGGCACAATGTACGGCAATTTCATCAGAAATTCCTTTGGGGCAAATAAAAATTTGTATAAATATGGTTTGGCAAAGAACCACACAGGAACCCAAAAATATATAGAGACATATTAAAATGTTTAAAATGTCGACGATACCCATGTGTTTCTTAGCGATCGGTGGTTCCCCGAATTTCGTAAAATCCTGGAGTTCTTCGAATAAATTTAAGGAACGTTTTTGGATCAAATGCGTTACTATGTAATTGTAATAAATGTTTATACCGCAAATTACGGCATAAATTGCTTCTGATATTGCGATAGATGACGATTCCTTCAAATCTGAAAAATTAAAAAAAAAATAAAATAAAAAGTATTTATTTTATTAAACATACGTGTGAAAACGTAAACGCCATTTAGGTGAATATCAATAACAAAATATAATCCCACTGTTAAATGAAACCAAACTTTAAATTTATGAAAAAAATTGTTTTCGCCATCGTACCAAATATGAACCAATCTTGAGTATTTGTACAACATGGGAATATAGGTAGGCATTGTTTACATTAAAAAAAAAGTTTGATTATACCTTAATCGATATCAAAATACGAATAGAGGATTAAACAAAAAATTTGTTCAATTTATAATACAAACTAAGTGCTTATTTTAATTTTTATTAAATTAGAGACAAAATTTGATTGCTACAAATCATTTTATATTGTGTTCTTTCATTTTAATATTAAATTTTTGTAATAAAAAGGAAGTAAAGGAAACTTATTTTCTTAGAAACGCGAATCATTTGTAAGCGGTGGAATAAACATCAACATTAAAATCAAATTACGGAAATGAGCTTATCCATTCTAATTTATCCATTTCATTGGAAATAATATATTAATGAAATTGTTTTCTTTTAATGATGTATTAAAAAAAATTGGATTTATTGTTTAAAAAAATCATAACAACAAGGTTTATGGAAAATAAGAAATTATGAGGTGGGTGTCGCAGACGGGGGAAGTATGTCAGATCATGATATAATATACTGCAATCTAAAATTTAAAACCCCACCACATCCGCCTCTATTCTGGCATGTTTTGAACATTCTAAATTTCTAACTCCGACTGTATTAAACTTCAGGCAGATCTGGACCGGTTCCAGAAATATTGCGCTGATAACAACCTCTTCCTAAACTACGATAAATGTTATAAAATTACTTTCACTCGCAATCGCTACCCTCTGAATTTTCCCTACAGGCTGAGTGGTGCGGACATTCAATCGGTTGATCGTATTAGCGATCTGGGGGTTACTCTTGATAACAAATTATCTTTTAATTTAATATGGAATCCGTTATTTCCAAAGCTCTGAAGAGGTTGGGTTTCGTGATTCGAACCTGCCGCCCTTTCACAAATATTAATTGCATCTGATTGCTGTATTTAACGTACGTGAACTTAGCTATGCCTCCACCGTCTGGAATCTCCAGTACCACGTTTACATTAACGGTATCGAATCACTTCAACGTCGTTTTTTGCGGTACCTATCTTATAAAACAAATTTACCTTCTTGCGATTACTTTATGCGGTGCAGGGTGCTGGGTTTTCAGACACTGCAACAGAGGAGGCTGTGTTACGATTTACTGTTTATTTTTAAACTTTGCAATGGCTTCATTAGTTCGCTTGAATTGGTTGGTGGGTTACGTTTTTACGTTCCTCCCTACCGGACTAGGGGTGGTCTGATGTTTAGACTTGATCGTTCGAATACAAATGTCTACATCAATTCACCTCTTCAGAGATTAATGCATTCATTTGACTCTCACTGTGGAAATATTGATATGTTCAACACCTCACTAGCTGCGTTTAGGCGGTTTTTGCGTGGCGTGGGCGTTAATGTCTCGGGTCATTAGAATTAATTTTTCTTGTTAGTACTATATTTTTTTTTCTTGTTTTGTTTTATTTTGTTTTTTTTTCTCAAATCATTAATTTACAATTAAGTCCGACAATCCGTCATTAATTTGTATAGTGGACGCTTCGCTGGGGGTTAACCCTGTTTGCGTCCCATTTAAATAAATGTTATAAGATTATTCAACTC